CCCAAGCTCCACGTCCGACTCAGGCGTGGCGGCCATCTTGGCCGGGGACTCAGGCTTAACGTGAGCAGTCTCTGAAATGGCGGCCATGTCATGACGAAACTCTGGAAGATCAGCTGTGACGTGATGAGACTCTAGAAGGGCGGCCATTTTGTGAAGAGACTTGTGTGGCGGCCATCTTGCAACGAAGCTCTTCAATGGCGGCCATATTGTGAAGAATCTCCTGAGTGTGATGATGATGTATGATGTGAACAGGCTCTGGCTTGGCAGACATGACGTGAAACTTGAATAATCCCAGATGTAACGTGAAAACATTTTGGTGTGGGGTGTACTGTGTACTGTGTACTGTGTACATTTTGGTGTACTGTGGGGATTTACTATCCCCACAGTAAATGGAGAGCCAGCCAAACGGAGTGCAAAGTATTACTTAAAGGCACAATATGTAATTTTTACGGTGGCCGAGAGAGCTCAACGCGCCGTAACTTAAGAAAACACCAGCAAATTGAAAAAACACCAGCAAATTAAGAAAACATCTTCATCAATTTGACAACACAAAAAAGTGAAGGACCCGGCTGGGATTTGTTTTGTGCAGTGGCTTTTTTTATTTTTTTTTTTGAGTTTCTGCTAGTGATTCCTTTTTTTTTATTTATTCATTTTTTTATTGAAGATATAACATTCACAGCGGATACAGTCATAGCAATAAATTACATACACAACCAGAATACAAAACAATAAATATATAAAGAATAATAAAAATGAAATATAAACAGAAAAAAAACAAATAAATCAAACAGCGGGTTACAACAACAATACACCACCTTACAAATATTTACTAATATGCTATTAAAATCAAAAGTTGTATCTGTTAACATAAATGGACCTGAGCTAACACTAACAATGAACAGTATTATTTTAATTACCTAACATTAATTATACTAACAAATGTATTGCTCATTGTTCATTAATGTTCGTTTATACATTACCTGGCATTAAGTAATGAGACCTTATTGTAAAGTGTTACTTATTTATATTTTTTTATAATTACTCAACTATAAAATATAATTGTAAAAATTAAAGTGGATCAGATAAAAGAAAAAATAAAAGACAATTTTCAAAATGAAAATTAGGTCTTTATACTGTATAAATGGATACCTTCAATAAACAGCAAGATTTTATGAGCTCATTATATGAAATCAACTTGAGCACAATCAGAGTAAAATCTAACCCTTGACGTAATATTTCCTCTGGACAAAGTTCCTGTTTTATGCCTCACACAGCTGTTGACTGGAAACGGCACAATCTGATGTAAAGATGTCATTTAAAGACAACACGATTAGTTTTCCTGAGCTTATAAAGCTGAAACGAGACGGTGGCCAACTCAGCCCAGCAGAAATAGGCACTTTTGTGCATGGAGTCACATCAGGAGACATCCAGAACAGTCAAATAGGTAAGGACATGATATTCACATAAATTCAGTGTACAGTTAAGACACAAGTCAAGAAAATTTTTGAGTGGATTTTTTCAAAAACAACTGTGTTGCACCTGCACAGGTGCTATGCTAATGGCCATATGGCAGAAGGGCATGACTGGTGAAGAGACCGTAGCATTGACGAGAGAGATGATGAACTCTGGGGAGACGTTTAAATGGCCGAAGGAATGGCTTGTGGTAGACAAACACTCAACCGGTGGGGTTGGAGACAAAGTCAGCCTTCCACTCGCTCCTGCTCTGGCTGCATGTGGCTGTAAGGTATAAGAAATGCCCTGTACTATATTTTAAACTATTGAACGCAAAAATTCTACATTTTAAGAAAAACAAAGAAAACAGTTCTGATGTAAAATGAATTAGAATTTTGGTGATTCTGCACTATTTCTGGGGCACATTTTCTACTCAATTACATTTTCCACCGCCAATCGCTCTCATTTGAAAATGATTGCAGCTGAGGTACTTTAGACATGTAGGGTTTTTTCTAGGTGCCCATGATAAGTGGAAGAGGACTGGCACATACAGGCGGCACCCTTGACAAGCTTGAGTCTATCCGTGGGTTTAACGTTAACCAGTCAGTTGAACAGGTAATGTGGGTTTTCTTTATACTTCAAATGATGGTTTGACTAATGATGCTCTAACTGGTTTGACTAGTCGTTACTAGTGACAAAAATGAAGAGATCAAATTTGGCCTATTAACTGTCAGATTGTAGTAAACACAATCCTCGGGTTCTATTATGAAAATTATTATTTAAATATTAAAAATGAGTATTAAGTAATACCTATAAATATGGTTAAATACTAATGCCATTTATATTTATGTTTGTGGTATTGTAAACTGAAGGACATTTCCAAAACTACCACATAATCGTAATCCTGTTGCAACATGCTGAACAGGATCATTTTGTAAAAAGGATATTGTGCATCACTGTATGAGTCAGGTTATTTAGAAATTTCCAAAGTGAATAAGTCAAGGATTTTTGAAATCTTGAAATCTGCATTTGGTGTTGTTTGCAAATGCTGAAGAAGCTGCACTCTCTGAAAAAAAGGTACAAAATCTGTCACTGGGGCAGTACCGTTTCAAAAGGTACACTTTTGTACCTTTTAGGTACTAATATGTACCTTTAAGGTACCAATATGGACTGTTTAGGTACGGATGAAGATGTTTTCTTAATTTGCTGGTGCTTTTCAATTTGCATGTGTTTTCTTAAGTTGCAGTGCGTTGAGCTCTCTCGGCCACCGTAAATTTTCGC